TATTCTATATCATAATTATATAATATATTGTATAATAATAATTTTATTATATTATATTATATTACATTTTATATATTATATTAATTATATTCTCATTCTATTATCATTAATATTCTCATTTTTATTATTATTATTATTCTTATTCTTATTCTCAATATTATTACTATTCACCCTAACTAAACACACACTTATTATCCTTTAGCGTAAATACTTGAGTATCTTAAACCTTGAATTCAATTGAAGACTTGACACCAAGTTTGGATATGACGTGTACTTGTCTGGATGCTCTTTTCTGATGTAAAATAGTCAGATTATGTAAGTCTCGTTCAGTTCAGCGATTTGAGTTGAAATGTGACTTTATGTATAAGTTTTTAACTGTAGTAGAAAAAGTTAAATGTGACATTTTGTAACTGTAGTAAAACTGAAATTAAAAATTTAAATCGGTGAAATGAACGAGGTCGTAAACTTTTCAAGGCGGAAGTTCGGGTCAGTCTTGAATTTTACAAGCCATTTTCAAAAAAAATTTAACAAAAATGGTGTTCTGGCTAGCCATTCTGAATAAGCTTTTGAACTCGAAATCTCCACCCAATCCGGAGATTTGGGTAGAGGCTCAAATTAACAGCAACGGAACGGATTATAAACCGGCTCGTTTAACCTCACTCAAATTTGCACAAACTCTGCATAAAATATTTTGCTTTCTCAATATGTGCCTATTCGTATTCTTTGAAGTTGTAGTCCACTTTAAAATAAATGTCGTTTTTGTGCCAGGCATGTCGTTTGGTTCATCCAGGAAATACGAAATGTCGTTTTATTCCTGGTCAAGCAATAAACAACAGGAATGATTCTCTTTGTTTACCATTGCATAGAACGACATATGACATGCAATTTTCTCAAAGTTACAATGTATAATATATTGCACGCTTAGATATGTATGAACTCATTATAGATGTACTAGCAATATTCTTGCATCATAAAAAATGAAAGAAAGAAGAAAGAAGAAGCAAAAATGGCACATAGAGCTCTAGTCCATCAATCCGCTATGGGATATAAATAAGAGCTATAGTCCAAAATTAAGTTATGGTGTTACGAACACCAAAAACAAGACACTTGTTATAGTGGGAAACATTGGACATAATCTGATGGGTCAATTTCAAATTTAACCACTGATAAATAGTTAGTATCACACCTTGCACTTTACAACTTAAAATGAAACAAGTCTATGCTTATTATAAGTTGTGACTTTAGAGCACTTCTATTATTCTATTATTGAGACATCAATTTTTATCAAGAGTAGAAAAACTTTGTTGGGTTGTCTTGGTTTTTTGGTCTGGAAGTGATTGCTTTCTGTTGGGGTTCATTATACAAGTTCGTAACGGCCATTGATGAAGATGGAGATGAAGAGAATCTACTTTCATTATTGTATTTGACTTAATATTTCTTATTGGTTTTATCAGTTAAATTATCCTCCATTAATATTTAATATTTCTTTTTTTTATTACCACGTATGCATTTTCTGTCTAAATGATACACAAAAGTGGATAGAAGAATAATTTCATCTATTTCTATAGATCACCGGGTGTTTTGAACTGTTTTTTTTAAATAAAAAAAAAAATCAAGAGGCACTTGCAAATAGAGTACATAATCCGGTTGGCAATTAATTAACTTGTGACCACATTTTATTAGAAATAATATACTTATTAATTTTCACCATACATAAAAATATAAACAAACAAACTCCAAACTCTTTTTTCTTCAGGAGCTTGAAGGAAAAAAAAACAATGTTATAGAGCACTGGTTGGTGCCCCCACACGATTTCTTCGAAGGAAAGAGATGTTAGCATAACATAGGAGCTCCCTTCAGCTGAATTTTAAAAATTAACTGATAGATTGATTTCAGGAAAAGCTACAGTACTTAAAAAACCATACTAATTTCACTATGATAATTTTCATTCTTCAAGCAGTCTTTACAGAAGAACACTACTTTTTCTACTTTAGGCTTTTATTTATTCATTTATTGCATTACAAACTCTTAATCAAAAATCAGTACTTAAGTCAAGTTCCACAACATACAATGACCACCCATAACCTATAATAACGTAAATAATTCCGAAGAATATCCCAATCAAAGACGTGAACGTGATTCCTGAAGAAAAGGGTAATCGGTGTACCCAATAACAGGATCCTGAGTGTAAAAGGTCTTTCTATTATACTTAGTCAAAGGAGCATTAAGCTTAAATCTCAATACTAAATCAGGATTTGAGATGAAAAGGCGACCATATGAGACCAAATCCGCGTCGCCATCCGCTACAGCTTGCATTCCAAGCTCCCGAGTGAAGCCACCACTACAAATAAGTGTTCCTTGGTAAGCTTTTCGCACTGTCCTCATAAGGTGAGCTTCTTCCTCTTCACTGCCGGGTCTGCCTGATTCCGTCTGACCATAGGCCGTGTAACGAGGCTGCGTCACATGGAGATAAGTCAGCCGTGATCCTGTGTTTAGTTGGAGCCTGTTAAGCTTCTCAACCACTGCCAATCCTAGGCCGACCGGGTCGGAGTCCACGGCATCAAGGTGATCAATTGCAGGTGAAATTCTAACTCCAACTCTGTCAGCACCAATGGCAGAAACCACAGCTTGAACCACCTGCGTTAAGAATTTGCATCGGTTGTCGATGGATCCACCGTACTCATCTGTTCGATCATTGATCCCGTCTTTCAAGAATTGGTCAATGAGGTAGCCATGCGCGCCATGGATTTCAATTCCATCAAAACCTGTATATGAACAAGATCAGAGATTTGTTCAAAGCAATTTTTTTATCTTATTGTTTTTTGCTTGACATGCAATTCATGGTTCAAATAGCAAAATAATGTCCCTGTCTCCCTGATACCATTCTTGAGCTTATTATACAAATCAATCCATTTCAACATGATGATCCTACCAATATAATGAAGAAAAAGAAAAGTACTATTCCACAAACTTTCAAATATTTTTATCAACACTGACAAGTCATGGGCAATAAAGGTTAGAAAAGGCACTCATTGAACAAGAGTGGTCTTTCTGGTATGAGGGGACCACAGATAGGATTGCGGGGATCAAAAATCATTAGTCTACGCACGAGTATGGCAGTGATACAAATCATTATCTGACTACTATATTGACAACATTAGTCATTGCAGACACTATTATGAGCCAATTCTAAAACGTGCATCGCCATTCCACGTGTCTCCGTGTATTACTATAAAGAAATTTAAGATTTCTGGTTGAGTGTGTAACCTAATTATTGTGTTTCACTCATATTTTCAGTTGCCCTAATTATAATGATGTTGGGGTATCAATTTAAGGGTTATTAAAGAAGTTAGAAAAGAACACCAGAGGCTGAGACGTATGGGGCGTGTGGTTCGTTTATGATTTTATTCTTCATAGTAGAATTCTCGGCGGTTCAGAGTTACAAGAGTGAAGTACTATTAGTTTTATACGTCCTTTTTTACTGTTTTTCTTCGATTTTATTGTTCTCGGTAATAAAGGGTTAGGACATGATATTTGGTTCACAGATTCATAATCATTCTTGATTTACATGTATTTTTTATGAGAGAAAATACTGTAGCGAGTCACGAATCATAATTCGAACCGTAGCACAAATCCTCATACCAAACACCTTAGAAACTTCATCATCATACAAAATTATGGTTTGAACAGAGAAAAGATAACCTAAGATTAGTGAGTGTACACGTACTTAGAGTAACAAAATCATCACAAATCAGAACATGATCCAACTCAAAGACATAATAAACATAGAAAGAAGCTGAGTAAAACACATGTTGTCTCGATGATATAACTAACCTGCTCGAATGGCATTTATGGCTGCGCGGCGATAATCCTCCACCACCCCTGGTATTTCATAGGTTTCCAAGGCACGAGGCTTTGGATATGGCCCGTAAGACCCGTCCGGCAACAGAACTCTCCATCTCTGTGAGATGGGCTTGTTTGTTGACGATATTGGTGATCCCCCACCAGGTTGATAAACTGCAATACATATTATTAATGATCAAACTTAGCACTATAAGACATACGATGCACCTAAGAAGCGAACATTGATTAAACAAATATTAATGTCAATCAGTTGATCATATAGTTGGAAATAACAATTGATGTGGCTAAATGAACGAGACTATAATATTTTGTTAGTTACTAATCCCTCTCGGAAGCTTAAGCAGATAGGAGGTGGTCCAATAAAAATATTATATTCTAACAACTAAGGGTGCGTTTAACATGGTGGAAAGAAAATGAATAAAATGAAATAGAGTTTGGTAGGGTAGAAAGAAAGAAAATGAATAGAATGAAATAGAGTTTGGTAGGATGGAAAGAAAAGGAATAGAATGAAATAGAATGAAATAGAATTCAAGTATGATGTTTAGTTATATTTTTAAAAAAAGAATGGTCATTCAAAAAGAATGACCATTCACTCATTTTAAGTGAATCATCATTCCTTCCTCACATGAAAGAAATAGTCATTCTAAGCTCTTTCCTTCTTCTTTTTTTTCCATAATTACCCTTGAATATTATAATATAATTACAACAGATTATATAGTAATTATATCTTATAATATATAATATAATATAATATATATTAAAAATATTATGATATAATATAATATAATTTATAATATAGTTATAAATTATAATATATTTATTTAATATTCTATAAAAATATATTATAATTTAATTATATCTTATAATATAATATATAATATTATTATATTCCTTGTCATAATTATATTATATTACATTTTACATATTAGGTTAATTATATTGATATATAAAATATTAGTATTATATGTAATACAAAAGTAATTTTGTCAATATGAAAATATTTATATTTCATTTTATAATATTAATAAAATTACAACTAAATAAATAAATTAACTTTCTTTTTTATTCTATTATTATTATCATTCTCATTCCTATTACAATTACTATTACCATTTTTTCCTTCCAACCAAACGGACGGTAAAACTAAAAGTAATGAAAGACATTGGTAAGGGTAATAACGAGTGTATAGTATTTACCTTGATGAGATGCACGGCCAACGTGCCAAAGTTGACAGAAAATGATGCTGCCTTTAGCATGAACGGCGTCCACAACCTTCTTCCATGCCTCCACCTGTTCTTCCGTATAAATTCCAGGCACATGTGGGAACCTGCTTTCCGCCACCGTAGATTATATATGCATAAATTGAGAAAATACACTTTTGATCACTTGACTTGAAAATATTAAAAAGTACTTAATAGCGTCCGATATTACCCAGAAGCATGCACTTTTAGTACATGAACAAATCAACCTAAAGTAATAGGTTTTTAGTTTTTATTTTAGATGACGTTTGGTTTATGTATTCAGAATCATAATTAAAAACTATTCTCATTTTATGTGTATTTTTTGTGATAAAAAATACTATACAGAATCATTATTCATGATTCAAAATTAATGACGAATATAAGAAACAAACGTCTAGAGATTCTGAACCGATAGCCGAGCATACAAATAGAAGAATAGATAGTACTACTTCACCCCGCCAAAATTGTATTTTATGATTTTTTTTTTCTATTTCTTATCTTAAATAAAAGAAAACATATATCCTTTTTCTTACCAAAAAAACAACATGAAAAAGAACAGATTACTTACAGTATGTTATGAATTAAAATGATTAAAATTCCGTTCATTTTATCGATTCGAGTTGTTAATTTTAATTTTATTACGGTTAAAAACTCTCATAAAAAGTCACATTTATTTTTTTTTTACTACAGTCAAAAATTCTCACATAAAATCACATCTGAGTTTAAATTAAAAACTCGAGTTAACGAACTGAAGGTCAAGACAATAAGACCCCGTTCATTTTGTCGATTTGAGTTTAAAATTTGAATTTCACTATAGTAAAAAGTTCTTAAAAACAGTCACATCTAACATTTTATTACAGTAAAAAATTTTTACATAAAATTACATCTCAACTTAAATTAAAACTCAAATTAACGAATTAAACGCCTAAGATTGAACATAATTTCCTTTTTCCTTTTTCCTGTGCAATTAACAGCTTTGAATATTAGTCAAACTTTTATGCCTGCACAAATGGAGTCCAACCAACGTGTACGCTGAAGCACTACAATAGGCTCATTAACACAATTGGCATAAGGGGTCACCTGTCCCACCATCCACTTAAAAAGGAAGAGTGGACCCCACCTAGCACTAGATATTATTTGAGTGAATAATGAACGATTAGAATACAAAATCCACGCATTGACTATAAAGCCCTTGAAAATCGACAAGAATCACGAAAGTTACCCCGCCGCTGTGTTGGAGACCAAAGTCCCTTCGCTGATGAGAAACCCGCCGGCAGTCGACCTCTGCGTGTAGTACTCAGCCAGCGCCTCGTGCGGCACTCCGTTGATCGCCCTGCACCTCGTCATCGGCGCCAGCACCACCCTGCCGCCAAGTCAACGCACCGTAATTATTCCAAACCATCAAGGACAAATTCGTCCAAGCACACCGATCGCCAGTCAATCGGCCCAAAATTTAGAGGAACAAAAAAATCGAAGGAGAGACTCACCTGTGAGAAAGATCCAACTTTCCCATATTGTAAGGAGAGAAGAGACTGATCTCTCGCGATGAAGCCGTTTCCGCCATTGGAGTTTAGAAGAAGAAAACTTGAAGCTTCGAAATGATGATCTGAATCTGAGAAAGTAATAAAAATAGTAAGAAAATGCGCAAAAACTGAAGAAAGAGAGAGAGAGCTTTGAATTATTATAATAGTGCGACTGTAGAACTACTTTTTTGCTATGAAAAACGTCTTTGGATTGGATTTTTTTTTGTGTCAATTATTGGGAATATGATCCCATGGATTTGCACCTACAGTACGAGCTCTGATTTGTGAGTGGGCAACGATTCTTTTTGGTGGTCGGCAAAATGAAAGGTTAAGTTTGGTTAATTAAATGGATAAATCAGACATGTTATTCACGTGATGTTATTTTTCTCTTCCTATTTTCGGCCGAGGGTGAGGGATCTGGAGTTGATTTTGGTCTGACTAGGAGTCGTGCGTTGACCGTTGAGTGAAGGCAGAAGCCGTGTCGAGTGACGACTGGTCTTGAAGAGTCATTGAGCTTGGGCTTTCTTTCAATATAATGGGTTGGGCTGGTCTCGTTGGCCCAATAATGGATTGGATCAGATTCTTGTAGAGTTGGGTATGGTCCAATCAGATTGGTGTCGGTTTCATCCTTTTCTCCCAGAATGCATTTTCATTTTCTAGCAAATTAGAGAGTCAACCCTTTTAACTTACTTTTTCCTTTCTTTTAAACCTCTGTAGTTCTATATTTTAAGTTGATATATATATAGATAGATAGATAGATATAAGACTCGTTTGTTTTACTGATTCGAGTTTAAAATTTGAGTTGAGATGTGATTTTATGTGAGAGTTTTTTACTGTAGTAAAAAAGTTAGATGTGACTGTTTATGAGAGCTTTTTACTGTAGCAAAACTCAAATTCTAAACTCGAATCAGCGAAATGAACGAGAATAGTAAGAGCAAAAGAGAATACAAATAATTTTTAAAAAAGTAGTACGAGCATTTGGTGGATGTGTAAGTTATTTTGAATGTATTGAGTTCTAGTTTAATTATCAGTCGATATTTTTGTTTTAAAAAAAATCAATTTCCCAAGTTAAAGGGGATTCCTTTAGATTTCCTCGTTGTTTTTTCTTATTTGAATTATTCATCTTAATCAATGTAGAAAAACAAAACTAGTAATTAAGTTGGGTGAAATCGTCATCAAACGCCACACTTACAATTGCCTCTTTTTTTTTTTTTTTTTTTTTCCCCTTGGAGAAAAAGGCTTCTTAGCCCTTTTGAACACTATTCATAACAATATCAAACGCTTTATTAACTGCGACGAATGATTATAATAGTGTCAAGAATCAACATCTTGACTGACGCTTGAAGGGAGAGAGAAGATATGTAATTTATAAGCAATATTTTCTTTGACTTTAGGTCTGCTGCTAAGGTTTTTCTTTCTTTCTTTCTAGTTTCTTCCTCTCTTTTTAAAAGCTGAGTTCAATTACTTTCATTATATAAGTGATCATTCAACTGATAAATATTTAGAATACATAGCTATTGTCTTCATACGGCACCCGTTATTTTCACGTGTTTTAATTATTGCTACAAACCTATTATTTATTAAAAAGAAACTACATCATCTGAAATTCATGAAACTTAAAAAAAATAAAAAAATAAAAACTACCAAACTTTACCAAAAAAACGACAAAATTTTCAGAAGTTAGTAGAAAACTGACCTTATGCCAAAAGAAATCAACTAATTTTTCAATTGTCAAATAGTTAGTGGACAAAAAAAAAAGAGAAAAATTTCTGATGAGCAACCATATCAGAAGTCCCCTCCAAATTGGAATTTTCTCAGCATGGCCAATAATATGGTTTGACATGACCACCCATCCATCAGCTGCCTAACTTAGAGTTGCAAGAATGGACCAGCACGGTATGGCCCGACTTGGTCCATATTACTTAGATCTACGCGGGCCACGAGTTGGGTGTTAGAAATAGTGTCTTAAAAGTATAAGATGTTATAGGATATTTATTATTTAATTAATAAAATAGTTTATTAATTATTTTATGTGCATATATTTATGAATATTTTATGAATATTAAATAAAAATTTTGTGATTGTTTATGTAACCTTAAACATAGTATATAAGTGTTATATACGAGAGGATAGTGTTTAAGGATAATAATCAAAAACATTGTTCATGATGAATTTAATTTAAAGTTCATAATCTTTAATTAAAACATTATTAATACATGTCATTCCCATTTAGAATGGAACAGTGTTATCCGCACTGTTAATATGACGAGATATTGAATGAGTGTATTTTGCATAATAAGATTATGTGGAACATGGACACAGACACAATATGAATTTCTAATAATTTTCGTTAAGCATAGAAATTCTAATTGAGTATACCGATGGTCATATATAGGATGATCTTAATCATGAGTTCTTAACAAACTCCTATTTATGGATCTATATCTTTTGATTTACTCGGTACGGATTCCGAGACCATGAATCATATTCCTTATATTTTGGAGATATAATGAAATAGGTAGCTGAGAATGTTATTATACGAGATGGAATCCATTCATTCTTGAGAAAGAAGTAGATAAATAATTCTCTTGAGTGTTGATTCGGTACTTGGATTAGTAAGAGCGCTCTGGTTCATGAATGTGTTATATGAGTCACTATCCATTAGAGAATCAATGGTACTCAATGATGCAGATATAATTAGAGAGGTTAACGGATTCTACTTGACTCTAATTATGAATTATTTATGGAGGATTGATCTATATGTAATGACTATATCAAATGAACACTTCGCAGTTTAGAAGTAATTAATGTCTGTAATTTCGAGAGTTCAATTCCAAGTTTATAGTGGAGTAACTATTAGAATTAATAGAATTAATTAATTAATTAAAGTGTTTAATTAATTATTAATTTTATTGGAGCTCGGGATTATAGGTCCATTAGTCCCCGCGTCGTCCTTGTAATTCTACCAGACACAAAGGGCAAAATGAGAATTTTAGAATTACGGAATTTTAAAATTAAATACTCAAAAAATAATTAATTTAGAATTATTTATTATTTAAATAATGTGATTATTTAAATTTGAATTTGGATTGTGAACATAATTTAAATTTATCCTTTTGAACTTATTTGATAAGTTGTTCAATTTAGAATTCAAATTAATTTAAGTTCGACTTAAATTTGAATTTGAATTTGAATTAAAATTGGACTACAAGATAAAGGATGATTTCTCTTCCTTTCCTATCTGTTATTGGCACCACACACAGGGTGAAACCCTAATAGTGTGGCCGGCCACCTTGTGGATAAGGGGAAGGAATTTTTTGTTCCAAATTCAAATTGGAGATAGGGATTTGATTCTGTTTTGAAGTTTGACTTCTACTCTTTAAATATGAGAATGATAGAAAATTGTGGATACAATTTTTGAAAATTCGAGTGTTTAAGAAATCTGTTTTGTCTCACATGTGCCCACACACACGTCTACGTAGAATCAAGGAATTGACGTGGAAGACTTTGATTTTCTAAACACAAAACTTGGAGCAAGGACTGTTCGTGGACAAAGAACTCAAGTTATCATCTGAGTCGGCTTCCAGGTATCTTTTTCCGGATTGAGTTCTTAATATATAAATTAATGCGATTAATTTATTCGTGCATAAATTAATATAATCTATAAAGTATCTCAAAAGTTTTTCTGAAATTTTTGTTATACACGATCCGCCTCTCCCCACGCTTCCGCAGCTGAATTCGATTCGGCAACCAACACTGGGCTAGGCCAAGCATATAAGAACAACCATCGGCCCAGCCCACACTATGGGCATATAAGTTAAAAGGGGTTAATTTTTGTTGGGTCAGACCGGGCTGTGCCATTGACTGTGAACATGCCGGCCTATTTGAGCCCATCAACGAGTTAGTATGAGTAGGCTCATCTTGGCTCATTGTGAGTTTAGATAGGCCAACCCATCTAAACCTTCAATTTTTAATTTTTTTTTAAATATTTATTTTTAAATTTCTAAACAATTTGATAAAAGTCTGAATAGTTAATGAAAATATGGAAAAAAAATATTTATTTTCAACTGCCTCATTAAAAACATTTTCAAGAAAAACTCAATAAGACAAAACCTTAATAAAAAAAATGAGTATAGTGAGAAGAATTATACATAAAATATTTACTAAATAAATCAAACTGTCATGACCGAGAAATTTATCATAATTATTATATAGGATAATATTTTCTAGAATCCTTTGTATTATTAATATAAATGTTTTTATGATAAGTATTTGTTTATATATGTATGGAATAGCAAGTTATAAGTTAAAATTCAGAAATTTTTAAACTACGATGCAGTTATCGATTTTTCAGACTGTATTTAAGAAAGAAGTATGGAATTACAGTGCTGAAACTTTGGACGGGCCGCCCGTGACCACCGAAAAGTCCGAATTTTTGCCCGATGACCGAACCCGATCTGCCTAAAAATTCGGGATGCCCGACCCGACCCGAAAATTCTCATGGACGGGCTTCGGGCAGAGGAAGCCTGCCCGTGCCCGGTCGGGCTGCCCGATGCCCGACCGGCTGCCCAAAAAAAAAAAATTTTTATATTATATTTTTATGTTGTTGAAATAAGTATTTGTATAATTACAATGTGTAATTGTGTATATTACAATTTAAAATATGAAATGAACACACGACACGAACGAACTATATAAAAAAAATTACTTCTTCATTGATTTTTAAATTTGTAATTCATGATTGCCTCATTAAAAACTTTACCAAGAAAAACCCAATTGGGATAAAAACTTGGTAAGGAAAAAAGAGTGCAATCATTGTGGGACGAATTACAAATTTGATGAACTTACAAAGTCTATACAAGATTACAAATTACAATAAACACTATAGAAATTAGAAATTACAAAGTAAATAAATATTTACAAATAAATTATCAAGATGAAGCAGAATGATCATCTTGAAAATTAAAAGTTAATCTATTAAATTCGTCGATTCATTCTTGGTTTTCCGGTGAGATTGTATCGTGTAAGCGTTGGTCAGAACGGTCCCAATCCTTGATGCACACCAAAGCTTCAACAATATCTTGCTGCAATGCGTTTCTCCGTTCTTCAAGTATTCGGCCGGTTGTACTGAATGCTTGTTCGGCTGCAACGGTGGAGACCGGGATTGAAAAAATATCCATAGCCAGTCGTGTTAGGATCGGCCAAGTTAATGCTCATGCCCTCCACCACTCAACTAAATCAAACACCTCATTACTGTCTACAACTAAGTCCTCACTCAGGTACGCCATTAACTCGTTGAATCCGCCGCCACCTCTTGATGAAGATCCACTTCCACTCCCAGATT